CCCAGGACATCTTTTGCTCCCAGCAACAATCTTCTGATTTCATTGTCTTTTTAATACTTTCTGTTGATAAATGCAGTCACCAGCAGAGGCTGTACCTGTAGCCTAGACATACAGTAAACTGTACGTCTAGGTTCATGTAAATATGCTCAGTGATGTTCACACAATGATGATATCGCCTAACTACACATTTCTCGTTAAACAAGGCATGGCTATACTGGTTCCATTGTCCTAGCTGGTGCATTCCCTCCCAAAGGTATGCCATCTCAGAATGCGTCAACATCACACTGTTTCCATGTGCCCTGTTGTACCTATGCTTAACCAACCACCCATAATATGTCCTCATCCTCAACCAGTTGGTGAGTGACCAGCTTTAGTGTCTGTTTCTGTCATAGGATGGGAGAGTGTTGAGCTGCATAGTGAAGTCTTTGGTTCTTTGGGTCCAGATCGCTAAAATTAGATACCTGTCCCTAGGTGCAAAAATAAAGCCACAACCACAATAAAAGTAGAAGGAAAGATAATTTAATAGGAAAGAAAGATTTTAGAAAAGAAATACACCCAAATGACCTTTGGGCGGGCAGGTTGCCAGGTAGTAACTGCATTAGGAACTGGTTAGGTGTTATTTTTATTATCAGAGGTGATAATGAATATTTAACAGTGGGGGATCAGCAGTTAGTATAATGGCTACATCGCTGGACTCCCATGTAGTCAACCGCGGTTGGAGTCCTGGACCCAGTGGCTTAAACTCATGCCGGGCGCATGTGCGTGTGTGCCCATGATCCTGAGAGGAAAATGGAGGAGAAGGGATTGCGGCATGGCCATCCCCCTGGGGGTGATTTCTCGCTTTCTGTCTCTCTATCTGTCTGGCGAGCACATACGCCCTGTAGCAAAAACTTCTCAAAATAATAATAATAATAACAACAGTGGGAGGTCTGTCATATTACTTATGTCCTTTGTTTGAATTCTCTCGGACTTTCTCCTATGTTCGTGCATCTCTCTCACAGGTGAAGAATCTGAGGAATTTGATTATCTAACTGTGTATGCCCAGTGTGACCAGGATGCCTAATTGGGCAGTGTATCCTAACTGCCCCGAATCAGGATGTTGACCAAAATGTCTGATTAGGTCTTTTTATATTTATGAGGAAAGATAAGAGGGCAATTTACAATCATCCCTATGTGTCTTCCTCAGGTACCAAGGAAAAACAATGGTATTTGCTGCGCCTTCCCGGCGCCAGGAGCTGGGTGGGAAGAAGGCATCTCATGGAGGGTCTGGCTGTAACTCCTGATAAATTGTGATTGATGTGACATGGGTCCTTCTGCTATTTTCTTAGGGCTGTTTGCTTATTACTAGCTGACTGCCTACCACATTTCCTTGCACCAATTCTGCCACCAACTGTCTCAAGGTTACAAGCTGGATTTTCTTGGAAGCATGTTTTGCTTCCAGAGGAAAATTAACATGCATGAGGTTTATTGGAGGTAGGAGAGGAGGGGGCTTTTGGGTAAATATCAGAAGAGTAGTGAAGAAGCAGAACTGAGCAGACTAAAGTGTGACTGTGATAACCTCACAACAAAGGCTGCAGCAGATTCCATGAGGATCTCTGGAACTGGAATGGCCTTAAAGACTCATTCCCAAACTGGGCAGGCTGACCAGGCATTGCATGTGTGCTGCCCCTGGGAAGGGGAAGTAACCTTGGATGAAGAGGCTCTTTTCATCTCAGTGTAACTTCAGGGAGAAGGGCTTAGCTGGGAGCTGTCTGCCGTCAACATTCCCACAGCTGGAGGAAGGAGAACTTCAGGCCGGAAAGGAAGCAGCTCATCTGGCCAGCACACACCAGTGTCCACTGCAATTTAAAAATTGTATTTTAACAGCAATGTGTTTTTTTATTTTTGCTTTTGTGTTAATTTGCCAAAGGGCACATGTGCTTGCCTAAGAGAGACAGAGAGAGAAGGAAAGTGAGAAAGCAACCTCCTATGGGGACTAGTCATGCTTTTTTTTCTTTACCTCCTTTGGAGGTTTGGGGTGGGCTTGTGCACATACACATGTCCAGTGTATTTCTCAAACCTCCAGGTCTGGCACTTCAATTGCTGTATCAGCCATGGGGGATCTAGCCACCCTAACCACTGTCTTCAGCTGGCTCCATTGCATTTTAATAGTAAAAGAAATAGTCATTTAAAAAATTGCTCAGGATGGGACCAGCAATTGGCGTAATGGCTATGTCACTGGACTCCTATGTAGTCGACCACGGTTCAAGTCCCGGACCCAGTGGCTTAAACTCACACCAGGCGTGTATGCGTGCATGCCCGATATCCTGAGAGGAGAAGGGAGGAGAAGGAATTGCAGCATGGCCATCCCCTGATGTGGTGTGATTTCTTGCTTTCTGTCTCTCTGTCTGTCTCTGTCTGTCCAGCGAGCGCACACGCCCTATAGCAAAAACCTCTCAAAAAAAAAAAAAATCGCTCAGGAGAACATGGTAACACCGTCTGTGTTCTTTGTGTAGACTTAGTAGTTTGTCCTAGGTATGTTTCCCCACTTGAAGACTGGCCCAAACCTCCTAAAAAGCAAATAAAAATCCGGGAGTGGCTTGATTAGTGAAACTGCTGATAAGAGGTCAATTAGACTCTCACCTCCTTTCAACCAACTCAACCCAGACCAAAAATAGGTGTGTCGGGCTGTAAACTCTAAGCTGCCCCACAGCAAAACAAGTAGGGACCTGCACCTCTACCGTAAGTTGAATCCCTGTTGTCATGTGGCACGTAAACAAATCAGAAAACAAATCTGATTCCTAAGAGCTTGAAAAATAACTTATGTCTTTACTAAAGTTTGGTCAAAAAAAAAAAAAAAAGAAAAGAAAAAGAAAGAAAGAAAGAAAGAGAAAGAAGGAAGTTTTATCACATTCACTGAGAAAAATTATACTTTCTAAAAGTCCTGTTTGGACATCTCATTCCTGGGTTCCACTCATCTAAGCTGCTGCTCTTCAAGTCTCCCTTTTTCTTCACTTGCTGAATTTATTCACAAGTATATTTACAAATCATTTTATATGTAAATCAGATTCATCTTTCTCTGTAATCATTCTCTTTATGATAGGGTGAGAGAGAGAGGAGAGAGAGAAAAGCACGCTTCAGAGGATCCAGTCTTGCTGCTGTTCCCTTCATCTAATCCTCCAACCCATCAGATCATGTTCACTCACACAAGTGTGCCTGGTGTGTCTCAGGCTGACCTGGCCAGGGACTCAAACTCAAGTCACCAAGTGGGATCCAGTTTCCATTGAGCAGAGCATCCCCACCATACAATGATGGAACTGCATTTTTGAAATTCCCCTTTTTTCATTCTGGTCAACAGAAAACAAAAGGCAGACATAGACTTCTTAACAGAATGTGGGGAAGGAAGCATATACAGTTTAATCCAATCACATTTGATGTTTGATGGTGAGAGACATTCCCTTCTTTGGAACTGCCATCTCATTTCCAAGGTCCTCTCTTCTCTCCTCACTGTCTACCAGAGTGCTTCCGTTGCGCTTTTTCTGACTAAACTTGACTACTTTCCACTCTTCCTTTAAAAAAATCCTTGCTTACTTTCCTATGAGAACACATGAAGATAAGCTTATGCATATATGCATACATAATTTTGCATATAATTTTTGTGAGTCCATGGATCCCTGAGCAAGCCCTACTTAATCTCATTAATTAGTCTTCTTCCTTGACTCCGTTCCTGAAATTCTGACCCTAAAATTTTGGCTAACTCAATACACTTACATGCCCACAACAGAATATAAAAATCAATATTTTGGTATTAGCAAATGACTGATCTTTACAAACTGTACAAAAAATACATAGATTGTGTACTAAAGAATTCAGCATTATTTTTCATTCACTTTTTTGGGTCTTGCATGATTTTATAAATATCCATTAAATATTACTTGGAGAAACATATTTATGTGAAATTGATGCCCAACTTTAAGACTCTAACTAGTTCATGGGAGAACTGAAAGGTAAAACAGCAATTTCAATAGCATGCTATGACAGAGGATGCTGTGGGAGCCTTAAGAAAGAGGAGTAAGGGGTAGGGGGGGGTGGCAGTGGGGAAGGCACAAATCCAATCTGGATTTGGAAATGAACTAAGAGTGGTTTCAGGTAGAGTTTCTTGGAGAAGAGGACACATACACTGTGTCTTAGTTTTCAGAAGAAGACAAGAGTTGGGAAAAGATGCTCCCTCCGGAACAAATAGTGCTTGCAAAGACTTTAAAGAAAGAGAGAGCCATGGTGCATTGGAGAAATGGCAATTGATTTGCTAGGACTGGAGTTGACTGTAGATATTGACACATCACAAGAAGTGAAGCAAGGGATAGTTCACAGAGGGCCTGGAATGCTGTTCTCAAGAGTTTACTCCTTATCTCAATGGGACCAGAGCCTCTGAGAAATCTTTTTAGTAGGACATGGTGTAATTTGCCTTGCATATAGCATGGGAGGTGTACACTCAACTGTGGGAATTGCTTGTATTTAATTTGTATTTAAATGTAATTATATTTAAATTGCATTTTATATTTGAAAATAATAATAAAGAATTGAAATTATGAATGACTTGGTTTTTTATAAATTTAAATAGGCACCAGAATATAGATACACACACGAATACATACAAAACAATCTCAGCCACTTGACATAAATGATAAATAGAGCACTCTCTTGGGACCAGCAGTTAGTGTAATGGCTATGTCGCTGGGCTCTCACATAGTCGACCGCGGTTCGAGTCCCAGACCCGGTGGCTTAAACTCACACCGGGCGCATGTGCGTGCATGCCCAAGATCCCGAGAGGAGAATGGAGGAAAAGGGATTGCAGCATGGCCATCCCCCCTGAGGGGTGATTTCTCGCTTTCTGTCTCTGTCTCTCTCTGTCTGTCTGGTGAGCGCACACACCCTATAGCAAAAATCTCAACAACAAAAAAAAATAGAGCACTCTCAGCCATTTGCTTTTATCTTATTTTATATTTTACTTTATTTTAAATCAAGGGAAAGCATGAACACAGTCCCCCACTACCAGAAATCGTGCAGTCAAGTTTTCTACATTTGGGGAAACTGCAGAGCCAACACATCCTACATGTAATGAATAAGCCTCACCCTGGGAAAACTACCTTCATCATCATAGTATCTTCCCTACCAGGTATGCTGATTGCCTTTTTTTTTTTTATTTTAAAAAAATTGCTATAGGGCATATGTGCTTACCAGAAAGAGACAGAGAGACACAGAGAGGGAAAGTATAAATCACCTTCTAGGGGGAGGGAGGGAATGCCTGTACTGCAACCCATTTTCCTCCATTCTCCTCTTGGAATTTGGGGCATGTATGCAGCATGCATGCTTAGCATGTTTTTTTAAAGCAACTGGGCCCAGGACTCGAACTTCACAGTCAGCCATGTGGAATCTAGCCTTTTTTTTTTTTAAACACTATCCTGACTGACCCTTTTTTTAAGAGATTTTTTTTTTAAATTGGGCGTGTGCGCTCGCCAGAGAGACAGAGAGACAGAAACTGAGAAATCACCCCCCAGGGGGATGGCCACACCCCAATCCCTTCTCTATTCTCCTCTTGGGACTTTGGGCACAAACACCCATATGCCCAGGGTGAGTTTTAAGCCACCGGGTCCAGGACTCAAGCCATGGTCAACTACATGGGAGTCCAGCGATGTAACCATTATACCATCTGCTGCTTCCTTTTTTCTTTTAAAAAAAATTTTTCCTGAGGGCATTTATGCTCACAGGAGAGAGAGAAAGTTAGAAAATGCCCTCCCACCCACTTCCCTGCACAGGGAATGGTCACACTGCAATCCCTTCTTCATTTCTTCCTCTTTTTGGAATTTAGAGCATACATGCACACGTACCCAGCATGTTTTTTCAAGCCACTGGGTCTGGGACTTGAACCATATAGTGGGTCATGTGACATCCAGCCACCATAACCACCACACCACTGGCTGGCCCCTCAGTTACTTTTTTTTTTTTTGGAGAGGTTTTTGCTATAGGGCATGTGCGCTCACCAGAAAGACAGAGAGAGACAAAGAGACAGAAAGCAAAAAATCACCCCCCAGGGGGGTGGCCACGCTGCAATCCCTTTTTCTCCTTTCTCCTCTTGGGATCGTGGGTACGCATACACACGTGCCTGGCCTGAGTTTAAGCCACTGGGTCCAGGACTCCAACCACAGTCGACTACATGGGAGTCCAGCGACATAGCCATTACGCTAGCTGCTGGTCCCCCCACTAGTTATTTTTAAATGTGCTATTTTGAATGGAGTTAATGCCAGAGTCATGGGAATATTATACCATGCATAACTCACATCCCATCTTGTCGTTGTTCGAGCTTCTAAGAGTTTCCTAATACAACCTCTAATATCAGTGGAGAATAAAATGTTGTATTGCCTGTTTATACTTTATCTTTATTTCCACTTCCTTTTTATTTCTTTTTTTTCCCAACAATTACATTTTTAGTTTAAAAAGGAGATAAAGTATAAATGAAAATGCATAGGACATCTGTATAATTAAATGGACACTTTACTTACTCATGTGTTTACAATATGCTTTCATAAATACTGTGCTCCATCCCTGAGAAAGGAAAGTCTGTGGCCTGTGTGCTTTACTTTCCAGACAGATGTTAAGAAATTGCCTTAGGGCCGTTATCTCAGGAGGCCTAAACTAAGACAGTTGCAAAGAGGAGAGAAAACAACTTTTGGAAATATTCAGACCTTGATAATTACCTTATGGTAGACCAACTACTATTTGCAAACAATCCAAAAATCTCTATAGTATAATGCAATAAGGAGGACAGGAAACCAGGTAGAATTGGGTAGAAAGAGCCTTGGACTTCAGCATAGTGAAGATAGGTTCAACGAGGCCAATGGAGAATCCATGCATCAAAGTTACTTGTGTTTTGCAAGAATGGGGATTAATTAGTACCACCACCATGCTCAGTCATTGGCTGGTAGAGTGTAGTCTAGGCTCCAACATAATGGTAGATCCCGTGGGGTAGCATAACACATCTTGCTCCCTTTAGCAAGAGATCTGAGCAGCATATTTTTCTGACCACCATAACCCCATATCACAGTACAATATTAATTAGTTCTGGGTGTTGCAAAGCTCCATTCAGTCATTCAAGGATCCAGGCTCCTCACAGCAATGTCTCTGTTCTCCTCTGGGCTCCTGATATTCCATTTATTTGGCAGATAGGGCAAGAGGGTAACGATGATGTATGAGGGGAGAGGGTACAGATGATGTATGAGGGGATTCCATGGGTTTCATCAGGACTTTGCTCATGTCGCCCATGTTCATAATATATTGGCCAGGAGGTAGTCAGGTGGCTCTGATTTTAGGAAGGCTGGATAATATAGACTAGTCTATACCATTTGCATGAGGCAGATGAGGAACAGAGCAATATCCCCAGTTTCAGGTTTGGATTACTGGGTAGATGATGGTGCCATTCACTTACATAGAAATTACAGAAGGAGGACGCTGATTTCAGAGGAAGTGGATCTATCTCATAGCCAGCTATACATTCAAGTCAAAAGGTCAGGCAAGACATCTAGTTTAGTCATAATCCTGATGGTGGCCAAAGCCATGAATTGGCCAGAGATAGCACCAGAAAAGAAAAAGGCTTCACAATGTAAACCTGAAGAACATCAAAATTTAAGGACGGAGACCAGCAGTTAGCGTAATAGCTATGTCGCTGGACTCCCATGTAGTCGACCACAGGTCGCATCCCAGATCCGGTAGCTTAAAACTCACGCCGGGCACATGTGCGTGGGTGCCCAAGATCCCGAGAGGAGAACGGAGGAGAAGGGATTGCGGTGTGGCCACCCCCCCTGGGGGGTGATTTCTCGCTTTCTGTCTCTCTGTCTCTCTATCTGGCGAGCGCACATGCCCTATAACAAAAACCTCTCCAAAAAAAAAAAAATTAAGGACATATGTGACTCAATGCCTGTGGCAATCTCCGTTTAATGTCCTTACTTGTACTGCAAAACGGGAAAGCTAAAAACTACATTTCTCAGACTCCTTACAGCTAGGGTATCCAAGGATGTGATTTAGGTTCTGCCAGTTAGACAAACTCATAAGATTCTGAAGGAGATAAGAACATGCTAACTCAAATATGCAGGCTTGGCATACTGATGATTCCATGCTGAAAACATAGGAGAAACTGTGGCTGCAGAACAGGCCATCTGACTTGCTTCTTCCTACATGTAGCAGACCATAAATATTCCTTTGGGAGGGGTCTTTCCTGCAAGAGGGCAAGGAAATATTCCTTACCCAGAGACTGGAAACTGGGCTGTTTGGCCCACATAAAGAAACTCAATGAGGAAACCCTTATCTTCCACTAGCTTTTCATTCCCTTGTGTATGTCCTGTGACTTCCCTAGAATTTACTGCAGCTAGCCCTAGAGGTCCCGTTGTCCTGTCATTTCTTTACAAATGTATTGTTCTTGGTCTAAAAAGTATAATAGTATCTTGCTTTGGCCATTTTTTAAAATCTTCATTCTATTGTGAGGGTCTCCATGTACATGCAAAATTAGTAAAACTTCTATACTTTTCTTCTTTTTTAGGGGTGGGGGGGAGATTTTTGCTATAGGACGTGTGCACTTGCCAGAAAGACAGAGAGAGACAGAGAGACAGAAAGAAGCGAGAAATCACCCCCAGGGGGATGGGCACACTGCAATCCCTTGTCCTTCATTCTCTTGGGATCTTGGGCACGCACACACATGCACCTAGTGTGAATTTAAGCCACCGGGTCCAGGACTAGAACCATGATCGAACATGGGAGTCCAGTGACGTAGCCATTATGCCATCTGCTGGTCCCAATACTTTTCTTCTTTTAACATGTCTCAGTTTGGTTCTTAGATCCAACTGAAAAGCTCACTTAAGATCTAAAGAGAATAGAGGTGTTTATTAGCAACTTCCCTTCTTCTCCAGTTACAGAGCTGAATGAGCAAGAGGCTAGCCAGGGCAGGAAGCATCCACTTTGCTAGTATGGAGTACAGTAACTCTAGGTCTCAAGGTGACAGATAGCAAGGCAGTTTCCTAGTTTCACAGGCACTTACTTTTAAATTTTTTTTCCCAAAACCAAACAACCAGCTTTATTTAGCTTAACATTTCTTCTCATCTAAAGAGAAAGATGTCAGAAGAAAACCTATAACATACACACAAGTGCCCAACCCCAAGAACCCAGATAACCCAAAAGAAAAAAGAAGGGCTGAAAGTTCTGTTCAACAGAAAAAATCATCTTCGCTTCCAGAGTTTATTTCCACGTTCCATTCCACATCCTCTTCCTCTCACACCCACTCGGGCCTTTAGAATAGCAACTTTTCCCTGGCCGGCCCCTGAGCCTTGGTTCTTATTTTTCATGCTCTTTAACATGGGTGCATTCTTCAGCATATCAGACAAAATGAGAAAGCAAATCTTGCTGCCACGGATGTACACCTATTCCAACTGCCACTGGCTGTCTCTGTATATGACTGTGATGTTGGACATTTGGCAGTTCCTGTTGTCCTTCAGTGAGCTTCTGCCAATATACCTCACCAGTATAAGTCTCACATGTCACAGTGTGGCCCTCTGCCTCATGCAGGACTTTGATTGGCACACCAATAGACATCTTGCCAGGAAGAGTGCAGCTCAGATCTCTACTCCCTCCTCTACGGTACCATGGCGAATGCTGTGAAGGTGTGACACAAGCGAATGGTGGGCCCTATTCACAGGCACTTATTAATTGTCGCATAAGCAACAGCACCCCTGGTAATTCAACCTGGAGTTAACTAGCTCGTCTACTGATTCTGTGAGCCATTGAATACCTTGCAATTTTCTCTTTCCACTCAAATTAACTAAGGTGTGTTCTGTACTGGCACCAGAACCATGGCCAACATAGAGAAATGCAAGCCTTTAAAAGAGGTCAAGAAGAAGCCAGAAAAGTAAAACTAGGACAGACTACTACTCTGAAGTCAAGGGAGGAAGATGTTTGATAAGTGGTTTTTCTATAAGATTTTCAATGAAACGCTGCAGAGACCAAGACAGATGTAAACAGGAAGTAAAGGTGACTCAGCCAAGAGGACACAGGTAGTTTTAACAGGGTCAATGTCAATGGAATAGTAGGGGAAGAAGCCATACTGAGGAGATTCTTGAGATTCTTCCATTTTATTTTAACTC